TTTTCACCCACTTCTAAGAGCGCTCTATTGTCCTGTTATATTTCTCTTAATTTTAAGAAGAAAGCACAATCCATTCCAAATAAAACCTGCCCAGAGTAATAATCAGTTATAAATGAATTTTGTATTAATATAACTAACTATCTCTAAATAGTTTCTATGCCCAACACATAACATCCCAAGCATGCCTGGTAAAGCACAGTTTCACAGTGCGAGAACTTCCGTTATTAAAACCTGTGAGATACAATTTAACACATTTTAAAACTTAACACTATTCGATTGCAGTGGGAAGATAAATTCTAATTACTATTTAATTTCTTGGTTGAGAATCTCCAGCATACATAATACAAAATTGACTCCAAATATATGCAATTAATATTAGCACTTAGCCATTCCTTTAGAAAATGCAATGGCTCAATTTATTCAGCTCACAAAAAGATTCAACCAAATAAAAAGTATTTAAAGTTTGGAAAGTTTAAAAAGTGGCCATTAGTACAATCAACTAGACTGCCATTAGTGTGTGAGACCAACTGGTTCAAAATAGGGACATTGAGAAAATGGTGACTTCTACAGATGGTAAGATATTAGGCCAGGAATAAAAAAGAAAGAATTCTGTTGTGGAGAATTGATATATAATGTGTGGCAGAACCCTGCGATCTGTATACAGATCCATTAAAGAAACCCAGAAAGCTCCCCTGGGCATCAATGGTGTCTTTTGTTTCTTGTTGCTCTGATAAAACACCCAAGCAAAAGCAACTTAGGGAGGAAAGGTTTATTTTGCTTGGAGTTTGTTCCATTTACTTTTATTTTGCTGTGATAAAAGACCACAACCAAGGCAACTTATTTAAAAAAGCATTTAATTGGGCCTACAGTTCTAACTCCCTGGGGGTTGGAGTCCATGATGGTGGAGAAAGGCATGGCCTCAGGAGCAGCTGAGAGCTGACACCTCAAACCAGGAGCAGGAGGCAGAGAGCACACTGGGAATGCCACAAGTCTTTTGAAACCTTGAAGCCTGTTCCCAGTGACACGCCTCCTCCAACAAGGCCACACCCCCTAACACTCCCCAAATAATTCCACCAGCTGGGGACCAAGTATTCAAATCCTATGGGGGTCATACTCATTCAAGCCACCACAGAATTCAAGGTTATAGTCCATCATAGAAGGAAGTAACAGCAAACGAAACTTGAGGGGATGGATCACTTTACGTCCTCAGTCAGAAAAGAGCAGCAGATTCATACATGCTTTTCTCAGATTTGTCTACTCTTACACAACCCAGGATCCCCTTCTTAGGGAATGGTTCCACCCATAGTGGGCAGGCCTTCCCACCTCAATTAGTATAATCTAGATAATCTCTCATAAACATTCACAAAGATTGTGTCAAGTTGACATTTAAGACTAGCATTGCATATAGGTTTTTTTTCAATTGCTTATTTCTTGCCTAGACTTTGTTTTCTAGTGATATGAATGCAGAGGAATTGTTCTACCAACCATACTTACAGGATAGATATCCTCTGTTTTAAATTCTTAAAGAGATTATGATTTGCTAATTTGCCTCAGAGTGGTTTTTGTTGTTGTTCTTAACAATGGCAAACATTCATTTGTATCTTCTCTACACTAGATTCTGGGGTTAGCTCTTTTCCTGAATCATCTCATTTAATCCTTAAACCCAGGAGAGAGAAAGCATTCTTCATCCAATTTAACAGATGAGCAAATGAATGCAGGGAGATTAAGTAATTTGCACATTGACAATCGGTTCATAAAAGGGCCCTGATGACATTATTCAAATGGAGAGAGGAATAAACAGTGATAACTTCCATGGTTTTTCCCATCTCATGAATACCCAGCCTCTCCACCGCACCTAATTAGGTGTCTCATTACCGTATATTAGACAATTGTTCGGATAAACTGATTTCAGTTTATTTCTGATTTCTTCCAGTGCTTCAACCAGCCATGTCCAACCGATAGCACTCCTAGACTTGCGGCTCTTCCACGGTTGTTCGAAACCTTGTTACTCTTCCTCTAAGTTTGAGACGATTTGGGACAATTATAACAAATGCGCTCTAGAGAGAAGTGTTGACGAGGCTTAACCGGTGAAAGACGAGATGGGAACTAACTGGGGAAGATCAGTTGCTCACAATGATCAGGGGGAAAGCAGGGGGTAACGGGAGAGGTGTGTGGGAGAGGTGGGGAGAAGACTCGTGGGTAAGAATGCTTGCTGTATAAGCACACGGACCTCAGCCAGACCCCTAGCACACACAGAAAAGATGAGTGTGGACTTGTGCACGCCTGTAACTCAACACTGCTGGCGAGTAGAGACAGGAGGATTACGGGAGCTTGCTGGCTACTAGCTTAGCTCCAGGTTCAGTGAGAAACTCTGTCTTGAGGTAACATTGCAGAGGGTGAAGGAGCAACAATCTTGATGGCCTCCTCTGACTTTTCCATGTGCACACATGGCCACATACATCCCCTATAGTGTGCATGCACCACACACACACACACACACACACACACACACACACACACACACACACACACACCCCTACACAAGGAAAGAAAAAAAAAGGAATTAGCATCCAATATCATTAACTATGACATAGCTTTTAATATACTATGTGTAGTATTTGAACTTGGGTAAAAACTAGACCAAGATTGAGCATATAGGCAGTAGTATGAATTTTTCACTTGCTCTAGATTAGACAAGAGTGCTAATGAGCACATAGTATTATAACACGGTTAATAGAGCATGCATAGAGTTCTGCTGAGTTAATAAATCTGACCCCTAACTGCCCTTGGACATCATGACGTGGGCATCCTTACTGCAGTGTCCCCGAGGCCAGAGCTGCTCCTGTGCAGCAGTCTGCCCTTTGTGTAAAAAGATGATTTTGCTGACAGTGTCCATCTGTACATGGAAGTCCTCGTCACCAGCAAGACTTAACCAGAAATGATTCAGACAACTGCAGGAGACTCACTTGGGAGAGAGGTTTACAAGGTCTGCCCATTGGTAGGAACTAATTGTAACTTGGAAATTAAAGGAAAAAAAAACAGCAAACAATAACACAAGTTTGGGTTTACTTTGGGAAGATGAGTTGCTCAATAATGATCAAGAAAAAGGTGTGTGTTGGGGCCGGGGTCAGGGGGGGATCTTATTAATTCATTGTCTCAGGAAATCTTCAGATGGGCTCAGTCTTAGGGAGGCCCAGTGTCTCAGGAAACCTTCAGCCGGGCTCGGCCTTAGGAAGGCCCAGGGCAAGCAGCCACAGCTATTCTGACACATGTTTGCAATGGTGGTGTCGTGTGCTCAAGATGGCATTTCACCACCTTGCTTATTTTCTGGCTCTTAGATTCTCTGTACTTCCTCTTTTTAAGTGTCACTCAGCAGAGGGATGAAACAAATGCCCTACTTAGGGCTCAGCACTAAAACATCACTGACGCTCGGTGCCTTGATCAGTCACCCATGCATCTCCACATTCACTGCAGTTCCTCACGAAAATGAGCCTCTCTGCTTCAGGCTGAGAACAGCATCGGTCTCCGGGGTAAACATAGATATTGACAGACAATGTGGTACCATTTTAGCTGAACAACAGTAGTTAGTTCCTCTCTAGGGAAGGTCTGGGGCTGAGTTTATAGTACCAGGTGCCCGTTACCTGCCTGGAGCTGGCCTCAAGTTGAGCAGAGTAGTTGGTTACTCCATAGTCATTGTGCCGCCATTGTACCCATGAACACGGCTTCCTAGCAGGCTGATATTGTAGTTTGCAAGGTTCACAGCTGAGTAAAGCCAGCTTTTTTAAAAAAAAAAATTCTTGCCTAAATATTCCTTTTCAGCACTGTGAAAGCCACAGGGAGAAATCTTCCAGCTCAATTCCAGCTTGATTTCTTATATATTCCCATAAAGCTATCTTGTCTTTGAGACAAGGTTTCTTACTGAACTTGACACTCATTGACTGGCTAGACTGGTTGGCCATTGAGCTCAAGGAGTCATGTATAACATACACACACACACACACACACACACACACACACACACACACACACACACACCATAGGAGTTACAGATGCAATAAACCACATCTGGGCTTTTGTGGTTTTTGTTTGTTTTTTTTTTTTATACTGTGAGTGCCAGGATCTAAACTCAGATCTGAATTCAGATCCTCATGTTTGTAGGGCAGGCACTCTGATCCATCTGCCCATTACCTCTAGCTGTTATTTTTGTATCCTGGGTATACAGGAATCCAGCTTACCTCACAGTGTGTAAATATTAATAGTTGTCGGTAGCCCCTTCTTTTCGGAGTTTTAGGCTCAGTACAAGTGATATGGTCTGAGGCCAAAGCTGTCCATACAAATTAAGTAAATGTAGGTCCCTTGTCTCCACAGGATGGAATGTTAGATCACTGCTCTGGCCTGAAAGCGAAATATCACCTTGACAGGACACTGTCAACATGTCCCTGGGCATGCTGACATCTTGATTATCTCCTACCCCTCTCTGAGCATCATTTTACAGGACAGGGAATAGCCCAGCTGACTGGATTCAGTGTCATGTTTCATAATGCCAAAGAAAATCTTGGATTATTGGTAAGAGTTCTTTACCAGCCAACTTTTTAAAAGCATCCAATGGAGTAATCTTTCAAAATTTTCTTTCCCTTGCACCTCAAAATTCAATCACTTCCCAGTCTTGATACTTTTTCATTTACGACTTTATTCCCAGCCCCTCCCCGCCACCTCCACCATCTGTCCCTGCTGTCCTCCGCCAGCTCAGACGCTGCCTAGCCCACCTTGTCTCGGACAGTCCGTTCCTCCTTGTTCCCCCAGCAGCGGAAATCACTGCAGATGGCCATTACAGCCGACCCTCCTTCTCACTGCTTCTTACCACCCACCCTCAGCAGAGCCTTTTGTTCCAGAACCTTCCCAGAGGCAGAAAGACCCAGCCTTCCTGCGGGTCACCCAGAGCCCCTCAACCCCCTTCCCTTCCAACTGTAATTAATCCCACTGCCCAGCTGACGTCTTACCCGAGCTGCTGAAATCAATAGTTTCTGGATTGTATGATCCCCTTGTAAACACTGACAAAATCAATGTGATTTCCATACCAGAGGACGGGGAGCACTGAAGTAGACACTCTTGATAACGAGCCCCTCACAGAAATGTGGGGTAAATGCCGGGAGTCCCCGCCACTTCCGTGCATAATGAGGCATTTCCACAAACAACAGCCACACAGCCAGTTGTGCTGCCTGCAGCAAAACAATACTCAACCCTCGAGCTTGGTAACCGTATAAATTTAGTAGCTGTAGGAAGCTCTGTGTGCTGGATTTGAAGTGTCTAATCGAGTGAGTTCAAGGACATGTCTTTGTGTTTTATATTTAACCCTCTCCCCCAGAGCAAAGATAGCTGCCTCAATGTCGAATGACGACAAGAACCCTCCCGTGCTCCCGTGTTCTCTAGCCAACACCCGTGCCGTATTTATAACAGTCTTTTTTTTCACACCAAGCCTTGGTCTTTTTCTCTTCTGTTCTTGTTCAGTGGGCATTACCATTTCTCTTTGGGAATGTGCTCACAGGCTTGGGTGCTCCTCTGTCTAACAAACCTGTTTCTGACATGTAGTGTGTGAGGCAAATTTTGTCAATTGCATCAGATGTTTACAGCCCTGAGGGGTACTCATTTTAGGAAGTAAATCACTTTCTGAATTCAAGTGCATTTTTAACCCCCAATATTTCTAGTCAAATCATCTAGGTTTTCACTTGATTTATTGTATTTTGGGTAACATGGTTTCGTATTACTAAATTCATTGAGAATATTTTTTTTAGAGCAAGCATTTTTAGGAGAGAATCCTGGGATAGTGGTGGGGTAAGGGCACAAGGGGCCAGGCTTTCTGCTTGGACCATAGTTGCCCTGGCAGAAGGCTCGCCTCTCACCTCTGGAGTTCAAGGATTGTAACTTTCAGGCGAAGGTCTCAAATATCACTGTGGCCAGTTTGGCTCCATTGTAGTGGCAAGGCAGCAAAATTACCCATCTCGCTGCCCTGTCAGAGGCAGCTGGGCATTCACTCAGGGAGCAGTTTACACACAAAGGACCCTGACCTCCAAGACCTGGGAATGTGAGTTCCAACTGCTTTCTGCTCCTAACCTTGGAGTCAAATGGCCGTGGAGGCAGCTGCTGCTATACCTCCCTGCCCACCGTCATTGCAAGTGCCTTTCTGGCTTAGCTGTTCTTTTCGTGCCTGTACCTTTCTCTACTTTATCTTTTCCTCCTTCCCAAAAGCAAGTATATGATGCCCATCTTCCAGGGATGGGGGCAAGGTGTCTAGAAGTCGCTGTCCATGTCCAAGGAAAGACGTAGTAGCCTTCATAATCATCTAAGAAGGCTTTGGCTTTAGGTGTATACCTCAATCTGACGACCGGCACAGACCAGTACAATAATTAAAAACCAAAAATCCAAATCAGCAAACCACAGAGAAGGAAATCTAGTTTTCTGTGGTCACTGAATTTATATTAATTTTATGTCCCACCTCTAAAAAATAAATCATAAGACATGCAAAGACACAAGAAATCGTTGCCAAGTCAGGCGTGTGTGCAGTAAAGTGTTTCTCTCCCACAGCTGGTGAAACTCTGCTCTTCCAGGACACCAGAGTCCATTCCCAACACCCACATCAGGCAGCTCACAACTGCTTGTGACTCCAGCTGCCTGGGAATCCGATGCCCTCTTCTGACCTCTGTAAATTTTTAATATAATTTTTTTAAATGCCCAAAAAAGTGTGCTAAGAAAGTTAGGAATGAACGCTTCTAATCAGCCTGAGTTTAGCTCTTCTGACAAAGCTGATTCACACAGATGAATAAACATAGTTAAACCAGTTACGATGCTTTATGAAGAGATAAGAAAATTACACACAGCTTATTGGATATTAGTGAGGAATTTGCTCCTCCTTAATGATCATCTAGCAAAAGTTCTCAACGGACTCTGTCACATATGTAGTAATATTTTTAAAATACATATTTTAAATGCAATATAAATAAATAAATATCACATGCACGCTATTCAACCCCACAGCAGCTCTTCCATTTGCAACACCAGGATGAGTGAACCTGGAGAGCGTTGTACTACGTAGGCCAGACACAGAAAGCCAAGTACTTCGTGCCTTTCCTTTATGGTGAATAGAAAAATTTCAGACTCACAGCAACATGGGCTACAGTTGTGATTGCCCAGTGAGAAGAAGTAAAGAGAAATGAATTGGTCACAGTACAAAATTTCTACTGTAAATTCTAAAGATCTAATGTATGCGGACTATAGTTGGTGTATTGCAGACTTGAAATTTTCTAAAAGTGGGTGTCAAATGTCCTCACACACCACACACAATTATATGAAGTGATAGATATAGTAATTAACTTGATTATGGTAATCACTTCACAATATGTGCATATAAAAGTATCACATTGCATGCCTTAACTGTATACTACTTTTTGTCAATTATACCCCCAAAATCTGCAAAACTAAGATTTATTTTTAAAGAAAGCATTATTTGGTAGGCTCATTACGTAGACAGTTCAGGACCTCTGGGGACACAAAGAGAGACATGATATTTAAATTTCCTGGAAGAACAGATTTGTATCTGTGTACTTAGCGACTCTTCCCACACAGCAAAGCCTCCTAGCAGAGACAGTTCTAGAAGGGTGTCCCTGCAGACTGAATGGAGGGACTGATTGGGACTGACCCCCTTCACCAGAAGCTCACACACAGCAGGGACAGCCACAGGGCCATTGAGGGAGGCAGTGTGCTCTCACTGACAAGCTGGAATGGAAAAGAGCAGGATGAGAGCCTGGAGAGATGACTCTGGATCCAGCACTTGCCCACAAGCATGAAGACTTGAGTTTGCAGAGCTGAAACCCACATAAAGCAGTGTGTATCTGTGATCCCAGTGCTCCTACGACATGATGGGAGGCGGGAGAATCCCAGACACCCTTGGGCCAGCTAGCCTGGCATGCACAGCTGCCAACAGTAAAGACGCCATCTCAAATAAGGTGGAAGGTGAACTTTGAAACCCAGGGTTGTCCTCTGACCTACACACACAGAGAGAGGCGGGGGGTAGATTTTAAAATAGAAGAGGAGGTGTAATTTTACAATACTATCACCCATTACCACCTGTCAGACACATGCAGCCAAGTCCACGCAGCAGGAAGGCCTCTGTCATCTACTCCACATTGCATTCTATTCTAGGGAGATGGTTCGATAAGGAAGAAAACTCTGGTACCCTTCCATCCCTTTCATCTTCTAGCCTAAAGAGATTTGATCATTATATTCTGGCCCTTCAGTGTACCCACACACTAAAAGCAAGCCAACTGTTTCAGATGCCACATGCTCCAAGGCACAGAAGTCTGTGCCAGGCTTGGGAGACATGCTCTCCAGAGTCAAGCCCTCCCACCTCTCAGCCTGAGACACAGGCATGATCTTTAGGACCGGGAAACATCATGACTGCGGTTTAATTTGTTGGGTGGAATTCATAATTACTTTTTGTATCTGAGGTGATGAGCTAAGAGTCAGAACAACCCAGTGTTTGTACTGTGCTCTGGAAAACATTAGAGCCAAGGACAGGGACAGCAGCTCAGGTACGAAGCAAATAAAGGTGTCAGCTGTGGCTTAGCAATGGCATTTTGAAAGGACGGAGTGGGAGTGGATGTCTGCTTGGGAGCTATTCCTGTGATTTAGGTCGGGGCTTGAAGCCTGAGCTAGGGTTTACATCAAGAGAATAAGGATGAAGAGAGAGCTTGGAAAATGGCTCTTGAAATCTCAGCAAACTTCACGAAGGTGGATATGCAGAGGAAAGATGATTCAAACCACCTGACAAGCCAGGCGTGGTGACACACACTGTATTGCAGGCTACAGAGCTGAGGCAGGAGGATCACTAGCTCCTGGTCAGCCTGAGCAATTTCTCAAGGTCTGTTTAAAAAACATATTATTTTAATTGTAGGAAGGAGTTTGGGGGCATAGCTCAATGTTAGAATGCTTGTATAACATCCATGGAGATATGGAGATCTTGGGTTTGATCTTCAATTGGAAAATAAGAAAAGAGAAGAGAGGGAGGGAGGGAGGGAGAGAGGGAAGGAGGGAAGGGAAGAAAAGCTTGAGCACCAGGAGAGTCATGTCATTTTAGAAACCACAGGATCAGGCGGTGGAGCCAGGTGTTGCGCTCGGCCCTAAACATGGCACATTGAAGGTGCCGCCGGGTCCCCAGGGCAGCACGCTCGGAGGTTGTTGGAAGGGCAGGCTCACCACACTGGCCATTTGGCAGGCTTCATCTCTCCCATTCTGTTTCTCACAGAGGGCAGAATTTCATCTAGGAGCAGGGTGAGAGTGTGCTTGCTTTCGGTGCTGAGGCAAGTGAGGAAGCCAGCGAGCAGACTACTGTGGCTTTGGCATTGGGCAGGGCCAGGGACTGGGCTCACGCCTGACCCCTCAGCGAGGGTTTCCCTACCCAGGTACAGGGATGAGGACTTCTCAGAAGCCAGGAAGATCACGAACAGAGCAAGAGCTTGGAGGTTGCAAAACGAAGCTCCCAAAGAAGAAGGGAGGCAAGGTCTGCATGGAGCTGAGGATAGCTCCTCAGACCCAGCCATTGCTCAGCTGTGAAGGGGAATGCAGGGTTCTGTACTGACTCTGGGTCTCCTCAGCCGAGAGATGGAGAAGAGCAGAGCGGTGAGAAGCGAGAATCCACTCTTCGCAGTTTGATAGGCCATTACTAATGCATGCTAACAGTGACTCCTTAAACACCAACACAGATTAAATACCAAGGTTGCCACCCAGCCCACGGCTTGCTATTTGTGGGGTCTTCCTTCTGAGCTCCTAGGAGGGACTGTTGCTTGCCTTAAACTCGCCCCGCTTTACCTGTTTTATTCCCTGACTTTAAGAATTGGTTTTAAAAATTCAGAGGGTGTCATATTTATTTTCTATACATCTCGTCACTTACGATGTATGTTTGTAAACAAATATGTTCCAGTTTTTAGGAGACATATGGTTTCTAACTTGTCTGACTTAATAAGGTAACAGAAGTTTCGTGTTAAATCTGCCTCTAAGGGCTGCAGTCTCTGAACGACTTAATTAGTGCTCTAAGAGCATCGAATTCCTGGGCAGAGCTGGAGTCCCGTCTCTCTCTTCTCTGCCTTCCCTGTCTTTGCAGACAGGGAAAGCGATCCTTGCAAAGAGATTGTGGAGAACCCTGAAAATGGGACGTATAAAGAAATACCCACTCCTCTCCTCTCTGTCCCTGGAAACACTCAGAAAGGCCAGTTTCTTTAATCTCTAGATCCCCCCTCTGACAGAGTGCAGAAGAAATCTGGAGAGTGTGTGAGAGGACTGTCCAGAGACAGTATCTGCCAGTCTTCTAGGGGCTCTTGCAATACAACCTAAAAACATACTGACAAAGCAGAGCTGCCCCAGCAGATCCCAGGGCCATCAGCTGCTGTCATCTCCCAATGTGTGCCTCATGGCCACTTAACCTGGGAGATCCAGAGCCCAGAGAGAGTCTACCGCAGACCAACTCTGCATCAGGCTCCTGGTCTGTGGCAGCGGGATACCCACAGCTCCTACCTCTAAGGTTTAAACCTACAGTTA